AGACCAAATACCCCGCTAGGCACGCATAGGACCCAGAGACATAACGGGGACGACTTCGAAGTACGTGTCACGATCCTCGCGCAGGACTCAAGAACACACGCGCGCAAAACTCTCGAGGCACTCTGGATTAATTCCAGAAATCCGAAAATGAACCGCAGGGAAGAATGCCTCATTATCACGCGTGATATAGGGCAGTATATAAAAGTGCTTTTCTGATGTGAGGGGCACATTATACTTCCACGTGATTTCTGTGCGGTTGGTCTCTACGTGACATACTTAGTGGAGACCTCATAGAAAGCGGTGAGTGTGCAAAGCTGTGTTCAAAGTGATTGAAATCTTGGTTTGGGGTTTCTTTGTTTGGTTATGGAGGCGTCTGGCCGAGTGAGTTGCTATCAACTTGACCTTTCCAGGCTCTGAAGAAGGCGAAATTCGCCGAAACGTCAGCTTAATCGTGAACAAAGAACAATAACACCTCGCGTTTGCTCAAAAAAAAAAAAAATACGAACAACTGACATGGCTGATAATAAATGCTAGCTGGAGAAGATTTTTCTTTGCAGGAGGATTTAGATCGGTATAGACAGAAAAAGTTATTTGAAGTAATTTAAAAACGATCCAGTCTAAAGAAGTGTCGTCGGGATCTTTGTGATTATGTTCTGCTATCTTTTCTGATTTACGATGATTAGATTATCACTATACTTCGCTAGAGTAAGAAGATAGTGGTGAATAAGTCCTATACGAACCTTTTCCGATCCACAATCCCCGCCTAGGACTCTGCAATCTCCACTCATGAAAAACCTCCCGTGGTTTCCATCCTCTGTGGTTTAAGTCGCGATGGAAAGCATGCTAAGGGGCAGAGCTCTAGACCTGATAATATTATCGCCGACTTCGTTAGAACCGAAAGCCACAAATTACTTGTACGCTGACATCTTAGATTCAGAAAGACAAAACCCCAGACCACTGGAGGATGTCGCGCTAGTCATCCTACACGAGAAGGGTGACCGAAGAGACTTCGTAAACACCGATGCGTTTATTGAGTGTAGTGTACACGCTCTTCACGAAGATTACCTTTCTGTACATATCGAAAACCTCGGATGAGGCACAACCAACTGAGGAAGCTGGATTCCCACAGAGATTCTGCAGTAGGAACCACATCAATACCATGTCACGGGTCATAGAAGTCCGTCGGTATCATAACTAGCCCTTGTTCAAACCTTCATCGATTGCGAGGATGCGTTTGACACCGTCGGAACGAATGCAATCCTACTAGTGCTCCTCGACCAAAGAGTGGACCCTCCCTATATACGAACACTAGCAGACTGTTATCGGAACTGCAGCACAAATATTCAGTTTTTCCATCGACCTCTTACCATACCCATAGGAAAAGGGGTTCGACAAGGCAACACAAATCGCCAAAGCCTCTTACTGCCGCACTGCACTGGGTAATGAATTCACTCGACAAAGACGAGAAAGACATACGTATTGATGGAAAATTCCTAACAAATCTTCGTTTCGCGAATGACTTCGTCATCTTTTTGTGGAGTACCAGTGAACCAGAGACGATGAACTCAACGAAGCAGGAAAAAAAATTGGGCTGCGCATGAATAGGACGAAGACCCATTTTATGAAAAACCCATGGTGCGAAGGTGAACAAATCTAACTGGATGATTCTCTGACTACAAAAACCACCTCGTACGTATACCTTGGACGTTCACTGAACACGCACAACAATGTGAAGGAGGAATTAGAGAAGAGGAGAGCAACGTGGGTGTCATTCGGTGCACTTAAAGAAGCCACCGACGAAATAACGAATCCACAACTCCGCACCCATCTTTTCGATTCAACAGTCTTCCCAGCGCTCTGTTATGCAGCAGAAACGTGGGGTGGTACTTTAATCACTTCAAAAAATCTGCGCACCACCCACAGAGCACTTGAACGATGTCTGAAATTTAACCGGCATTCACAACGTCTAACCGGTACACGCAGCTCAGATCTTCGGAACCTATTCCATCTTTGTGATCCAGGATAATAGCCGCCAATAGCGAAAGATAGATGCGCATGGTCCCATAATAGGAAGAACAAATGACATTTGGACGAAAAGAACAATAGAGTGAACTCTAACATAATTCAAGCGTCCCTTGGAAGACAACCCAAACGGTGGGCAGACGTGTTCGTGGTTAACGTCAACAACCATTTGCACTTGCAGATGGCAACGAACAGGATTAAGGAATGAGGCTCGTAGACGTCGCCACATCCGAAGCAGACCACAAACGTGGATGCACGAGAAAGAAACGAATGGAAATTTTGCTGTGGCCAACACAACCAGTGAAGACGGGCCATGCAAGTATCTAAGTAAGTAATGTCTTCAATTCATCGCCATCAATGAAATTACGAAGTTGACGACCTCTCCAATTTTCAAGGTCAAAGTCGCGAAGACAACATCTTTGGAACCGAGGCGGCATGGGGAGTTCGTTAACACTTAATTACATGGTTATTACATGGTTACATGCCTGTAAACATGGCTAAAACTTCAGGCCATTCGCCCTTTGTAGGACCGAGTTGGAACCCACAGAAGTAGATTTGTCGTGAATGCTGTTTTGAAATTCAAAACCCTAACCTTTGGATAGGGCGCGTGTAGCGCAGTTGTCGGAGACGCCCTGCAACACACACGTGGAATCGCCCATGACCGACCAAGCCTTCCATCCCTCCGCGGTCGGAGAATTGATACCAGACTTGTCTGGGAGGATATCAGCACTCGTATGATACAGCGGTAGGCACCGCGAGTCATTGTAAAGGCCAGATATGCATTCAATCACCTCCAACGATACTTAATGAAGTCGAATGCATGGCGCATCCCTCAAGGATTGATCAACGTCGAGAACTTTATCCTTTTTATCCTTTTATTGGTTTCCTCTAAAATTATAGTCAGTAGGAAAGAAATGAGTTGGAAGCATCGAAAACTATTAGTTCTGATACGAGTTTGGAAACGCTGCAAAACTCTAAGCTTTGGAGTAACTCCCAAGTCCGACTTTCTATTAACCTCGGCATTGATTGAATATATCTAAGTTTTGGATTTCATAAAAGAAAACGAACTCTGTTATAATACAGTCATAGGCATCGATGGCGCATAAAATGAGCTCTGCAGAGATGTACACTGGCACAGCATTCAAAAGAAAACCACTGTTAAAACATTTTAAAGAAAAAAGAAACTAAAATTCGACATCAATTTCGGAGCAGCCTAATACACATCTCCCAAGTACCCCATTAGTTCAGTAACTATTAGGGGGCACGCATACCATAATATCGATATAGGCACTTTCTGGACAACAACTCGGATAGTTCTTCGACCTTCGCCTCGCCACTCTCGACATGATGTCCCATTCTACGGAGGGATAATAGTCGGACAGATCTGAAAAAACACTAAAAGCTTTGAATGAACATAAAGAAAAAGAAGAAGAAGAAAGTGTGAGCCTTCCCGTAATGTTTTAAGAGATTTGGTACAAGCTTGAGGTGAATAACACTTCTCATAACAATCTAACTTCTCTTGGCGCACTGAAAACGGGTGATACCTCATTTCACAAATCAGGTGCTAAGAAAATGACAATTACATGTGGAAAAAATGGTCTAGAAAATGACAAGAAATACTAATTAACGGCAACTCGTTAGAAGCGAACAGGAATTCGTTTAGATGAAAGAATTTTTACATCATTAAAAGCGAAGCCACCATTTGTCATAGAAAGATTAATGGATTTGATAGTTCACAGAATGGTCGGGACGACTTCTTTGCAGTGCAGTACTTAGGTTTGTCCTCTGGTTCTTCGCACCCTTAGGGTAGATCCGTACTGCAGCAGTGCGCCAATAGTTTGATATGTTTTCTCGCAAAAGACAATTGAAAACAATCGCTCTAGTGACTAACTGATACATAACGCCCGAAGCTGGTTTCTAGATAACTGAAGATAATTTCTCAATCACTACGATATTTGTGGAGTGGAGAATCCCACATTTATTAGCCAGACATACCTCTATCGCTTTGAATACGTAGTATTTACGAAATATTCTATTAATCTTAAATCTAACCGAAAATCTCAGAGTGGGGAACGACTAAAAACCTTAATCATTGCCAACTCAAGCGGAACACTGCCACCGCAAACACCAACGATACTTATAGAACACTATACTATACTATCCTCGACAAAAAAGTAAGAAAATAAGTTCTGTGGGACTCAAAAAGTGTGAATTTCATCTTGAAAGAATTGGAAAACTTGCAAGTTCTGTCTCAGGAGCGGCTGAGCTAGTTCCACCTAAATCCGTCATTGCGTGCTTCAATGTATGCCGAAGGTTAGGTGTGAACGCGGGATTAAAGGAAAAAAATGACGCCATGTCGTTCCATGCCTTCAAAGTAGTTCTACCAAAAATACGTTGCCTTTTTAACAATCAGGGGTGAAAACAGACCGAATGAGTGATGAACAATCACCTCACATTGGCATAGAGCCATATTTTTGTCATAATCCAACTTCTTCAGCAGATTTTTTTACACATGAAAGAAAAGAAACACGCGTTACCAATGCCATCCTCGGCTATCGTAACGTTGTCGACGATGCCGTTCTCGTTTATTTCCTCCTCATACCGTACGTTACTCTCGAGCAGCTCCAAATTAAGCAAATTCTCCGAATACGTCCACGATCCGAACTAAATATGAATCAAAACTGCTCTTAAAAGCTAATATGTCGATACCTTTATTTGCTTAATAGCGGAAGAATTACATTCGGTGATACCCTACGATTGTGGGCATGTAGAGCATTGACTTAAAGGTGCACTGTAATACGCGCTGTCGTTGGATCGATTCGGCTACCCAAACAGAATTATCAGGGAGGATAAACACCCTGACTCGACCCGATAAATCAGTAGACCAACGCAGATTATTGAGGAGCCGAAATATGGATTCAGTCATTTTAAGTGAATGAAGTCGAAGGCGTGGCTCAGCTCAATGGGATTGATTGGCGCAAGATTCTTTTACAGATAAAACGTGAAACTCTATCGTTCGAGCGCGTGAAGTTTTCAACATTAATGTCGGTGAATTCTTTAGCATAAGATACAAAGGATGAAGCTTTGCGCGTTGATCAATACTTGGACAATCCACCATGCATTCGACATCACTAATTATCTTTAGAGGTGATTGAATGCATATCTGGCGTATACAAGAACTTGCGGTGCTTGCCGATGTACCGATGTACCGAGTCAGTGTTGCTATTCTCCAAGGCAAGTTTGGTAGCAATACACCAACACCGGAAGAATGGCTTGGTGAGCATGGCGCATAGGATTAAACCATGTGGCCATTGCAGTATGTAACGCACGGCACCTCCAACCATTACGCTATGAGTAGATAAACTAATATTAGAAGATTACTAAATGAATAGCTAAGATTTTCTTGGATATATAATATCCTCTAAAAAGTGAGCGGTTTCTGAATTGAAGTTTAACATGAATAATCTGAAAATACGAGAAAGAAATGGTATCAAATCAAAGGAACTAGTTAAGCTTATAATATGTAGAGCGAGACAGTAGTTTTTTTTGTCACAACAGAAATTCTGAACGAACAAGAGAGAAATGTTGAGAAATCAGCGGGAGAAAACCATGGAAGGAAACGGTAGTGGCCAAATCAGAACCCTTCTTTGATAAGAAATCGTTAAGGAGATCAAATGATTCGCTTACGAATAGCCAATCACTAGAAACGATAAGGTGGAGAAAAACGAAAAATCGATAAAAAAAAGGTGCAATGTGTAAAAATAAGAAGTAATCCACCTTCAAATGGCACTGTTGCTCATCGAATGGAAACCTGAAACGGGAAAATTTTCGCGTAAACACATTGACCACAACTGAGAAGACATTGGGATGCCAAAAGACAGGTGTTTTCTAACAGATAGAAGTAAAAAAACAGAAGGAAAAAAGAGAAAAAAGTAGGATGATAGCCACCCACCATCTGACGTCGATTTGGCACATACTCTTGAAAATCGCCGGCGGTTCCCATGTCACCTCGCCGGAATAGTGAAGAGTAGCTTTTGTGGATATTGTGATATTGTAGTTGCTATCAGCACTGGAAAGGGTTACTCTTTCTTCTATTTTCTTTAATAACTTCCTTTTAGCACTTTTCGTCTTTGCCATTTTAGTAAGCCCTCTTCGATTTGCTCTTCAAATAGGCAACCAATATCATGTCATACTGACAAGATAACGCTGGGTTTTTACAAATATTTACTACGGATGACGTTCTCGGAGTCTCATCTCAGAGTAACAAGGGTTGCATATTTACAAAGAGGTTTGAAACAACTAAATTTATCCCTACCCATGTTGATTCAAATGTACCATGAAATGTCATGTTACTATAAAGATGAGAAAAACTGAACTTAAACGGCGATAGAACCCCTTTTTATTCGCTAACTATTCTTTCTCATAGCCGGATGTGGTGTGAATTATAACCACAATAATGCTGAGATAATTACAAAACTCCGGACTGCAGGTGTCTACAGCCTCAGCTTAACTGACTTCACTGCCTATTTGTGCTTGCCAGATCAATCCCGCTGACGGGTGGTTGCTGATGGCAAAAGATCGATAGAACTAGCTGAGAGACAAGTAAAACGAAGAACCCGCATGGTGTGGTGGAGAACGTGTTAGCCCCAGGAAAGGGTAAGAGCGTGTTCAATCCTCACCGCAGGCACCCGCGATCCAGGGTTTTACAAATAGCTCGGCGTCATTGTGGTTACAAACAGCGACACATTACACACATATGACTTTTCAGATCTTTTCCTTCAGTTAACTCGGAAATTAAGCAACCGCCTTTAAAAGAAAGAGATAAAAGCAGAGTTTTTGAAAAGAATTTAGGAATGCAATTGAATAAAAATAAAAAAAAAGAAGAAAGACTAAAACATGTGGACGAGTTTTTCAAACAAAAGCTTTAAAAACACTTAAGGATTCAGTAGTTGGTTAAATTCAAATTTAAAACACTTTTTCCTCTCTTAGGAAAAAACTCTTCGAGAGCTCAGGAACTTCCCACTAGGGTGGAAATAAGTTTAAAAAGGGCGTATAACGTTTCGGACTTAAAACAAACATAGTGTTAGAAGCTGAGAACTCTTAACGATCAGCGAAGGAAATTCTTTTTCTAAGCATTGATTTCTTAAAAAAAAGATCTGTCGAAAGAAAACTAACTTCTTTCAAAAACTCACTTATTGTAAAGAACGATGTCAGGCACCCAGATCATTTCGTACGGTACGTAGAGCACACTGACGCCACCGTAGCTCTTCGGATCCCAGGAGAGCTTCTTGTCGATCCACACCTGCTTCAACCAAACCGAGCAGGTCATGATCTGATCGATCTCGTGCTGAACATTACCGTATCCGATAAAGAACCAGCTACTTCGATATGTTACGGTAAAAAATCATTTTCAAGAGAATTTTCGCATTTATTTACGGCAGTGGGAACAGTTCTCCTCAGCTATCTACTGAAAAGTGGTTGGATCGGGCTTCTTACTATCGAATTGTACTGTGTAGCGTCAGTTCATCCTCACGGAAATGCTACTCGTTGTCTGCACAAGTTCAATTATTTTAAACGGGAAGCCCAGTTAAGGGTAATTAACTACAAGGGATCACAACCACATTGGCAACTACACTGTCCGCAAACTGGCGCGTGAGGTTGGTCTGGTGAAGCCATAGCTTAGCTTTAGAGGTCTTAGGCGCAAAGTTTTGTCCAATGGGCAAATTGTCGTCATACGAGAATTTCGCTGAGTTCTCAACGGTTCTTCGAACCGTATAAAGACAGGTCTTAAAACTATCCAAATTAGTGAGTGTAAACATAAAAAATTATAGAATTCCAAAAACTTAGTTAGATATTAAAAAATACATATGTCGATTAGCAGCTAGTTTTCGGCCATACGAAAAGAATGAGATCATTCCTTATCAACAATGTCCTAATATTATACCTTTTTATTTTCTGCCTACTATAATTTCGCGGCAGGTTACTAAGCGAAATACAACCACAACGTTGCTGAGATATTTGACTAAGCGAAATACAACCACAACGTTGCTGAGATATTTGCAAAACTCTGGACCGCAGGTGTCTATGGTGGGGAACGAGCGCGCTATTGTCCTTTCCGGGGAGTAACGCGTTCACCACCATACCATGCGGGTCCTTCGTTTCGCCTGTCTTTCAGCTAATGTCGTAATAGATAACCCAATCAGTCGGCATAAAGTTTTCTAAAAGTAATCGAAAAGTTCGCCACCAATGCCTTTATCCTTTAACAACGCTTCTTTTAAACTCTTTTATTTGATGAAACCTCGAAAGGATGTTTAAATCCGTTAAGCTCTTCAAATAGTTTCATCTTTTTGTTATCATACCCTTCTTCTTGCACTTCCTAGTCAACTACGGAGGGAGGCGTAGTACTCCAATGTCTCACTCAACAATAAATGCAAGCCCGGTTTGACTCGGGTCCGAGCCAACCATGCCTCCCTTCCCTCTATGCTCGTCGAGTTGCTGCCATATATCTAGAAAGAACCCTGTCCGATCCACAAGGGTTGACGACTGCATGTGATAAAGATTTAGGAACATTCTTGCACATATGTCGTCGAATTCCAGTGAGGAACTATTCGGCCAGCATCTAATCAGGTAACACGAAGAATTCATGTGGCAGCCAAACCCATAAGCAAATCCGAACACTTTCATCGAAGGCGGATGTAAGGAAACGAACTGAATGCAAAAAGCGCAAGTATTAGCACAACATGTGATGTTGAGTGGTAGAGAAATAAAGTAAGAAATTTTTATCGGACACAAAGAATGGAACTCACCACATCGATAATCTGACTCAGCCTTAACTTCAACTTAATTGTGATCGGTTCATGAGGTCCACTGGCAGGCCTGAACGAAGCAAGTGACATTTATACGGGGTGCAGCTTCTACATTTCAACGCTTGGTTATAGCTCATTTTTCTTTGAAAAGGTCGTTCGCAGGCTACTTTCCTCAAGAACAAACTTACTGGGGATAAGTCGTTATCTTTTAAATATGCATTGAGAGGATAGCATTTTTTTATTTCCTATATTACTATCTTCCAATGTGGTTTCAATGGTGCCAGCTTTGATTCTCTATTCAGGAATAGAGGAATGAAAATGAATGTAGAATGACAAAAAGAACGGATAAATAAATAGACCATTATTGGGGACGGTTGAGACTTTAGAATTTAGACTGATTTGTTGTAAGCTTAATAACGAAGGTTCCATTTCATCATATAAAAGCTCTAAAGCTCTCGGCGTTAATCAATCTCTGAGGGATGTGCCATTCATTCGACTTCACTAAGCATGGTTTGGAGGTGATTGAGTGCATATCTGGTCTTTACAATGACCCGCGGTGGCCTAGTGACCTACCGATGTATCGAGCCAGTGATGCTATCCTCGCAGACAAGTCTGGTGCCAATCTGCCGACCCCGAAAGAATGGAGGGCTTGGTGGGTCATGGGAGCGGGGATCGATTCCACGTATGTGTTGCAGGGCGCCTCCGACCACTGCGCGACAAACACCCATTTCATCATATACTGTGTTCTACAATTGTCAGCACTACAACTATGCGGGCTTTAACAAGTTTCAACTTTGTGTACAACCCGGATTAGAAGAATAATATTCAAACAATCTAAAGCATTCGCAGACGGTCACTAAAGAAGCTAATTCATACTGTTTAACTGATCGCAATTACCACAGTGCCACGTAACCTGATGAAATCCTGAATTTAAGTGCAGAAGAGGACGCGGGAAGCGTAGGTTTGTTGGCGATCACATGCAGTAAGAAGTGTACTGTCGTTGTTTAGAGCCCGCTATTACCCAACCAATCCTTTCATCAATCCGAGGTCGGGAAAGTGGTACAAAATCCTTCTTATTGGAAGAACTTTGTCCCATACTCAGTGGCCGGCGACCTCATCTGTAGTGCAGACATGCGAAGAGTTCTAGTAGAGCTATCGTAGGATCTCAGATGGAATCTACTTGATCAGAATTCAACAACATTTGTAAAAAACAAAATACTCGAGTATGAGGTGGGAGTAGGATTCACACGCAGATCCGGAGATTAGGGGCAATGAATGCGACAGAGCGAACCGAACGAAAGAAGTGCCGGGATCCGCTTGGCATCTGATGTAGTAAGGCCGTACCAACAAATAAAATATAAGAAATTGGAACAATGAATATTTTAATGTGACACTTCATCCATATTTAGGAAGGATATCAGTTGCTATTATGACTAACCTCCTGTGCCGATTGTAGTTCACCATAAGGTCGTCGTACAGCCTCTTAGCGTCTTCGTTGCACTTGACAACACTGACCATGAAGCCGATAACCAGATTCACCAGATGCCTCATATTTGTCTCAGGAAAAACGGAAACGCTCCAATAGCGTAAAACTACTACACGGAACTGCTAGAAGCAACGATTCTAGCGTTTACGTCGACGTAGCACCTCAGCTCATATCCACTCCTATCCTGCAGAACAATCCAATAACGCTATTAGTGTTAAAGTTAATAACTAAGCGACGAAGCAATACAGTTGTCGCAAAAATCAACAGCTACTCGACTGTCAGTGCCACGTGGCTCGACACCCTACTATGATGGGTTCCTAGGCTATAGAAAAGTATGCATACGAGATATCTTCTTTAAAAGCAAATTCTTTAGTCAATAGGGCGGTATTCAACGAGCTTTGACATAACTCAACAATCTCCTTGCGTAGTTTATAATCCGACAAATAGCATATTTCTTTTAGAAACTACCAGATTTCCACCCAGCAGCTGATCAGACTGGATGGAAAAGCGTGGAGGCTTTCATATAAACAGTAAACTTCAGAAATCTTGTATGAATGATAACTAAATGAAGAAAGAAGGTAGTGAGTTCACAAATCTAATGCGATATCTGACCAGGTTTTGGGTACACGACAACCGAAAAGTTAAAAAAAAAGAATTAGAAAAAACCACACACCGCCCCATAGAATCCAAAGAGTAAATTCACAAGCGTAAAATGCAACATTAAAGCTCAATCCTCAATTGTGAGCAAACAGAAATATCGCACTTCTACATCTGAAATCTCGATCTATGACTTCGACGAGCACCATCACTTCCTAAAATTAGAGAACACCTCAGCTAAAACTAAACACGTTCCTTCTAACGTCATAAGTTGGCCTAATGAGGATTTCACACTGAACGAAGGAGTGCATTCTGGACAATGGTGGCCGTGCCTGGAGCGCATCGATCGGCTGGAAGAAAGAGTGGTCTGAGGCTAGCAGGTGTCGGGTGTAATCCAACACGAAGCTTCGTCAAATAGTTCATGCGTACCGAAACATCAAAATAATACCTTTATTTGACTTCATTATTAATATTATTAACGATGACTGAAGTGACTAACATTACAAAGAGACTCTTCATGAAACGGCAACTGCGGACATCAGAGATGTCCCACATTAACAACTACTCACATTAAAAAAATCTACAAGGGAAATAACTGAAGAAAAAACAATTGAATAAGAAGCAAAAATGAGACATCGGAGCCCGATTTAAACCTCCATTTTAATAGCAACACTAGAATTTCCCTCCTGTACATCGCTTTTATTTTCTCCTTCTTTCTTGTCCTTCTTCACCTCTGAAAATACCTGATTTCATGTTCAAATGCCTCCACGAGTTTCAGCTATCCGCTGCGATTTCCACTAAAACATTTGAGGACATCAGATGAAAACTTACTTTCGGATAACTAAATTATACGATTACTACCGAAAGAATCTGCCATCGTTCTAGATGAAGGTCAAATAAGAAAAGACTCTAACTACAATGCTAACTACACAAACCGTCCGAGGTCCTATTCATTGTGTCCATTGGTCGCTTACGATCGGTTAATGGTGGACGGACATCAGGCAATCGTTCAAGTCCCAATACCTTAAAAATCTCGTCATCAGACATGTTACCATGAGCTGCAAAATACGCCGAGTATTTGTACATTTTCTCCGCTTTTGAATATGAGTTAACTTTTAAAACGCTTGCTAGGGCACTAAATAACCAGTCGATATTATCGACATCCGCAGGCAGTCATGTTACAATATGATCGATCCAAAATCAGAGAAGTTGATAAGCCGATGTTGAACCTATGACCCTATCTCTATTAAAGGAGCAGGTTTGTGATCGGGATCTATTTTAAAACAAGTCGCCTACCTTATATAACTGATTGAACGCAATGAGACGAAGAGCATGCTGAGCACTGGCGGTAATCGCTTCTCGTTGCTGACCAGTGAGCGGAGCCAACACGTCTATTGATACTTTCTCGCATGGATCAGGAAGTCCTGGACCGGCTGGAAATATTAGCATCTTCGCAAAAAATCTAGTTTTTCATCAACTGCAGGTGACTATGAAATACCACAAAATAAGTACAAACAGCTTTCCAAAGTGCTTTTCAAATCTTTCTTTAGTTCAAAAATCAAATTTGGAGAAAACTGAGAACAAATCTATACTTTTAAAACTTCCAATTTATCGACAGCATTCACTAATATCAAAGACTTGTTGGAGGTCACATTCACGTGCTGGTCTACTAAACATCGACTGTTCAGTCGTTTTGCTGCTAGAGATACAGACCTCAATGAGAAAGGAAGATGATAAATAATTTTCTCTTCTTTGGTAAGGACCAGTAGATTAAGCCCTTTGTGTTTCAATTAATAAAGTTGTTGAACCGCATGGTTGTACAAAGTGAAGAGGTTCAACTAATTCAAAACACCTATGCATTGAAATTAATGCATGTATTACCGATGTTAACGAAAACTGCCTACATCCTTGCACATACAATAAATATATGTTGCCGTATTTCAGTGTTATACTAAATACAACGTGCAGTTCACAACATTTGGAACAAGTTCAATTGGTCTCAGGTTATTGGCGGATTCAGAAGAGAAGGTGGGGATGAGATCAACACAGAACAAAAAGCAATATTCTGATTGCCCTGACATATTGATAGATCCAGGAGAAACTGCATGCATCTTTTAAACTCCAACTCCAGTCCAAAGACAGCAGTAACATGTATGTCCTGGAAACTAATGAATATTAACACATATACGCACCAAACATGCTGTGGATCGCTTTCGAGCGAAACTCTTGAAGAATATCAAACACGAGAGAGGTGGATCGCGACTGCTTCTTAAAAACAGATATCAATAAAATTACTTACGCCTGAAAAAGACTTGTAAGTTCGTCTTAAATCTAACGGAAAATCTCAAGGAATTCGTGAGTACTTTCTCACGGATTCACCAAACTATCGAAGAACAGGCAAAATGAAAACATTTAAAAGGAGAAGTACGAAGAAACACCAAGTACTTGAGGGCAATTTCTTCATCAAAGTACTTCCGTCGCCTAAAAAATATGGATCTAGAGCAGTAATACATGAGTTCGGACACGGTATTTCTAATGTGCTACAAATCGTGTAGGGACGAATACATTGGTGGAATGGGTAGACCACTCAACGTCCGTGCAAAAGAGGGAGTGGTTGAGGTAGTTAAAGTCAAACAGAACACTCCTCTAGGTAGCCAGAGAGCATGAAGGCATAATGGAGGAAATTTTAAAGTAGAAGTCACTATACTCGTGTAAGAATCCAAAACATCAGTGCGCAAAACATTCGAGGCATTTCGGAAAAATTCCAAGGATCCGAAAATGGACCACGAAGCAACGACTCGTTATCAAGCGTGAATTCACACAATACCTCAAACTGGTATTTAGACGTGAGAGAGGCACATTACCTATTCATGTAAATGGACGGTTGTCCCAACAAGGGAAACTCAGTGGAAGACTCCTAGAAAACGATGTGAAAAAGATAGTTTGTTTCCAATGCATCAAATATTCAGGCTCCATGTTTTTTTTGTTGAGGTTATGCTGACATTGGGCAAACTAAATTGCAGTCAACTTAACTGAGCTTTCTAGGTTCAAAGGAAGACGAAATCAAGCGAAACGTCCTACTCTGAAAAAATAGTACGATGATAATTTCGTTTATACGTGTGCGCCTGTCAAGTAAAGAGCGACCCATTTTCTAAGATCAGAACTGAGCAGTAACCTCGCAATAACGTAGACTTAGTGCTGACGAAGGGAAACGACAAGTTCTCATTGGTGTCGACATTTACCGCGCACTTAAATAAGTTCCAGAGGCTCAAATTCAACACAAATAGAATAATAGATTTGTCGGAGTTATCCAACACGACGATATCGGGTGTTGAGCATATAAGCACATGAAGAAAAGGATTGAGGAGAATTATTAACTCACGCCGAAGGTTAACAGCGAGCCAGTTTTGTAGCAACATATAGAGTATGACGTGGATGATTAATTACGAAAACTATTTTCTAAATGTGTATTTCGTATTCCTTAAGAAGAGCTCATCCTCGAGCAATATTGTGCAACAAGCTAGACAAGATGTTAATTGTGCATATTTTAACTCCGTGACCAAGATGAATACGTGTAATGTTGGTTATTCCACTACTAGCCCTAGATATCACCTAAATACATGAAAATATGAGGTAATATAGGTATAAAACACTTTTTTGCATTTAAGCAAAGGTTTGAGTGCTAAAATCATCTATCAGATCTAATTTTAACACCAATTCTTCTAGCAATATGGAATACTGCTCAGAAAAGGGAACAGTTCCCTCGAAAATTCAACACCAGCCAAACTTGTCACAAGATGGTGTGGTACTTCACTCCGGTAAATAGAAGTGAAATATTAGAGAGAGAAAAGTAACAAAGAGAAAAATAATAGAACAAATACGAATAAAACTACGTAAAACGAGGTAAGAAACGAACTTTTTAAAAGCACACCACTAGCAACAGCTTCAAAGACGCGACGAAGGGCGTCTCCAACGGATAACGGCGCCAAGCAAGAAGATAGTACTTTCTCGACGAGAAGCTCACACATCTAGTGAATTCGATAGTACAAAAAGCAAAGATACCGTTTGCCTAAAACTCATAAGATATAGGATAAGAGCATACCCAGTCATTCAGCGGTCTCCATGACTCAATCCTTGCCCGGATATCACGGAGGATACGAAGTGTAACCTGACACGATTGAAGATAGATGCATCTAGCCTAAAATAAAAAATAGAAAAGCTATATTACCACATTTTACATGCTCATAACAGGAATTTCATTCATAAATGATGTGGTCGAAGTTTAAAAATGAAAGTTGAAATCGATGTCGAAAGCAAGCTTCATAGGAATTGAAAAAGCAAGATGCTAAGTATTTCCATCTCAAGCTATAAGCGTCCTATTTCTTTTCGGAACAGAATTAGAACTAGCAATATTTCGGAAGTAATAAGTTCATAGCTATGAATTCTTACGAAAAGTTGGCAAGGTATCTCGCATATTACAGAACATTCAATTTCGCCATTTACGTATTGTTTTTAGAAAAGCAAGCTAACAAAATGATATTTTGTCGTAGAAGGGAAAACTCCGAAATTTCCGCTCTCCATCTAAGGGAAATAATTCCGAAAAGAAACCGCTACAGTATTCATGGGATGATAAAGCTAGTGAACAAACCCCAAGATGATTATAAATACTTATTGCGTAATTAATACGAATAAACTGTAAGTCGTTTTCTTGTTCAGCAATCGCGACATTATTATACAGCACACATTTCCACGCAAAAACCCACACACAATGCAACAGTAGCTGACGTTTCGGCAGTATCGCCTTCTTCAGAGCCTGGAAGGGATAGTGATACGTAATTTACTAGGTCAAATGCTTCAACAGCAGAAATAGAAAAATGAGAATCCATAGTAGCAATCACATGATCAACGGCTTCTCGAAGAACCCGTACGTTTGCATTGACTTGTGATGTGGCGTGATGCAGTCATCAACCGTATGCAACTACAATCAGCTGTTCTTCCCCGGTGAAGGCATATAAAAGCGGTGGGTTTTTGAGAAGCTGTTGACTATATGATTGCCATATAGATTCTCATCTTTCTGTGTGTGTCACTGAGTCGTCTAACCTAGCGAATTACGTACCAGTGCACCCTTCCAGGTTCTGAAGAAGGCGATACTGCCGAAACGCCAGCTTTCGTTGTACTGTGTTTTTGTATGGCAGTAAATGTACACCGTATAACAACCTCACGATTTCTAAACAAGAAAACGACGCATTTGTAACTCAATGGCGAAGTTTATAGGAAGCCAATCCTGTAAACTGTGAGTGTTCCAACTTAGGTCAACGAAAATACAATGTGCTTTCGACTTCAACAATACTTAAGGAAAAAAAATGAAACCCTTCTCAAAATAAAAACCAAGAAATTAATTACAAGCGCGATTGTCAGGAATGACTAAACTACACTATCAGTTCATATTGACAATGGCCAATTTAACATCATTTCACACCACTATTGTGCAAAGTAGTACAGTTAGTGTTTCACCAGGATTGGTGGACGTACACCTATTTCTACATTGTTTAGGAAATTACACTGTGGTACACGACTTTATCGAAAGGAGTAGCAAAAATAGGATTTGATTATCGAATAAAAACATGGGAACCGCTAACTGTGACATATTACGCTTCTCTAGCAGCTATATGACCACCTTTTTCGAAAATATGTTTTATGACGTCATTACGAAACTGTGGTTCCATAGTTTCCAGTAATATACTTATCTTTTCTCAGGAGGAGCTTTCTTTCCTTACAGTTTCATTTTAGAACAACACCATCCAATTCCGAAAAAGAAAAAACATAAAACATAAAACAACCAAAGAATAACAGGGAAGTCTCTTTAATATATCTCAGACCATAGGTTTAGCTTGTCACCAGTACAAACGATGTTGAAATGCAGCAAAACAATCAATGTGTTTGAGGTCAAAAGGTGACGAGCAACAAACCTGAAACCACTTAGCGTGGCGTAGCTGAGCCAGTGCCTTGAGGCAAACCTCTTTGTCTAGGGCATCTCCAGGGGGTGGTGGAGGCGCTGCGTCTGTAAAACGCAACAACCCACTGCATGAAAGATGGTCTCAACACATAACAATTGATAAAATTGGTAGAATGTATTGGAAATAATTAGTGAACCAGCGTCTTCTATTTTTCATTCTTTCACGGATGGAGAAAGAATTATTCGATGACGAATAATGATTTCACTGCCGAGACGCTGGTAAGTTACTTTGGTTTTAGAATACCGTAGACCATCTTTCACTCCCCTGAACCCATAACGAAAGAACGTTGCTCAATTCTCGGTTGAATAACATTCCGTCGAGTAATCGTTGTCGGCATGGTGGTGCTTGAAAATACACCGCTGCGTTTTGAAAGCGTGTTTATCACCACCCCAGTGAAAATTGTCACAATCGCCTTTTTTGAAGGAAATCATTCTCTAAAGCTGGATTAGACAAATCACATCGACTATGCTTTCCCTAGAAATTCATTAGTAACGAAGAAACAAGTTTTTGTTTTCATTTTTTACATGAAAAAGATACTCCCAGTTGATTTAGCTGGTATTAGGTTGTTCAGAAATGAGCGTTTTTAAATGTATTATTTAAAATGTCATAACTTGCTTCAAACAAAATTTTATTAATCAAAATAAAAACCATTTCAATCTACATATTTTTGTCAACGAGAAACAAGTTTATTTATTCATTTGCATAAAATCCTGGCGTTCTGGAAGCGATGGATTCCTTGAAGTTATTTTTTACGTCATCATGGTTGGCGAATGCTTGGAGAAGTGATGGTCAGTAATCGAGAGCTCTGGTGAATACGGTGGATGAGACAAAACTTCATAGCCCAACTCGTCCAACTTCTGCAGCGCTGGCTCCACTACGTAAGGCTGGGCTTTGTCGTGGAGGAATGATCCTTTTCTGTTGACTATCGTTGTAGTTTACGCTGTATTTCGTCGATCTGTTGGCAATGGTTCTCTACCATAATCGTTTCACTCGGACTCAAAAAGCTTTGATGAATCAACTCGACTGCAGACCACCAAACAGTCACTATAACCTTTTTTGGTGCAACTTCGGCTTTGGGAAGTGCTGTGCCGCCTGATCGCAATACAACCATTGAGATGAACGAGCTCTCGAACAATTGTTCCCGTGTTTGCTTCCACTAGCGCCTTCAATTCTTCGTCGTCAAGTTCATTGGGACGTACGCATCCCTCCGTATCTCTAAGGTCGAAATCACCACATCAGATCGGAATTGCCGGAACCATGTTAGCGCTGCTGATTCACCTACACTACCCTCCCCAAAACTTCATTAATGGTTCCAGCCGTCTCTGCTGCACTACAATCGACCTTGAACTTATAAAAAATTGATGAAAACTCGTTCTTGACATCTAAAATTGCAAAGCTCAAAACTGGTAAAAAAAAACTTTTCACAGGATACAAAGACATGTTTAGAAAGGGCATGAAATCAACTTTCTAATGATATATAATATTGCGAGGTACAAAGAATATTTGATTAGTATAAAATACTTTAAAACTAAATATTTTAAAATACTCATTTATTTCTGAACAACCTGATATATAAAGTCGATAAACAGTTAAGAAACAAAAGGAACTAAAACTATATGCACACAATAGACCGAGACACTCAAAATACAAAATACATGCATAAAGATCACTGAATTCGAATAGCAGACGTCACACACGCACCTTTAGAACAGGTGTAAAACATCAGAGCCGAATGTGAATTGCCATTATGCGTTGAATTCTTATAAGTTAGGCGTGATTAAAACGAGTATAACGTTTCTAACACCTTCTACAAAGCATGTGTGCATATATGTGTACATGCATATATATGTATATACATATACATGCATATATATACATAGATACATATTACGCATGTAAGCACATCCACACCGCCAACGACACAAGTAGTATACCAAAGAACTTCGTACTTTATTTGAAAATAATCGCTCCTTCCGCTTTATTTCCTACAAAATATACAAAACAAAGTTCAAGAAAGTGACAAAGAAACGTACTGCCTAACACATCCTCTCTGAATTCACGAGACGTTAGAGTAATGCGACACTGTACGGGAACAGAACTCTGACGCAAAATCATCGACGCCGTTGACTCCTCCACAGATAACTCAACTGTTGAGCCTTCTGGTTTCTGAAAAGCAAACACATTAGCAATGCAACCATAGGTAGGCAGGCATACATTGTGAACAACATTCACTACCACTGAACTATATTGAGCATGCTTTACTATACCGACTTCCCTTTAACCTCGACTTGAAATATCAATATATTTCCTTGGGTTGTTCAGCTTACGCGAAGTTGCCACACAGCCTTTATTCGTCTAACGTTTAGACGTCTTCGTCTTCTTCAAAGTCGATGATTCGATGATCCGACGGTCGACAGAAGTTCGTCATCGCACTATGTCTTCGCAATCGTGCGGGTCGAATCTTCTTGAGAGGAGCAACGCTCGAATACCAAGTATAGTCGAAACGTTAACCGAGTAAACGTTATACAACAACCTCGTGAAGGATGAACAATCCAAAGAAATACATATTGTGCATGTTTGTGCTAGCGAAACGTACCTCATAATGAAGCGGAATGAGAAGTGCTACTTCTTTCAAAAGAGAACATCCTGGTATATGGGAGCACAGAACAACTAAATGTACCTGAAAGAAATTGAATTATTACCTCAACGGAAGCACGAATTATTCACAGTGTTCACATCATGCGCATTATTTTCAATACATATAGCACGAAGATAACAGCCATCGCCTAAACTAAACCAAATTCTAAACTCGCATATCCCAGCAATAAGCGATGTTTACCAGCTTAACCAAAAACAACTGGAATCCATAGATGTTCACTATTGAGGTGTAAGTTCTCCTATTCTACTAAGTGGAATTTGGATCTTCCAGAACTCATGAAACGTATTTTTTAAATTCCAACATTTCAATCAATGCTCGAATTTTGGAAACGAGATTAATTAGAGATGAGAAATTTTGAAGTTCTCAATTACTCTAGTGATACGGAAATAACCGTCAGCTAACGAAGACAGTATGGTACGAATGAGATAAACAGTCGATGACCACGAATCGTACGAGTAGTTTCTGTTTCTCTTAGTGTGGCCTTTTTCACGGAATGGCATAAAGATTCCGCTCTGCACAAGGGAATAAATTATTAAGTCTAAATTCGATCCTAAAAAGATGAAGGTCTCGAAATATCTCCGGATCTATTCAAATTTCTTTACTCCCACGTTTTGACGATTCTTCTAAGAAATTAACTGAACGACAGATAATTCTGACCAGTTTACTTTTAACACGACCCGTCATCACGGGTTGCCGACCCCATCATTTCCCACACTCGATTCGTTTCCTAGCATCCATCACCTTCTAAGGTCTTCCAATTTTTACGTGTGCCTTCGGCTGCTGATTGAAAATTTTCATTTTGTCACTATGGTCTCTGAATGCCGGTCGAGTCGATTCCCCTTTTAACTCCCAAATAGCAGGGCAACGGCGTCCCCACTTGGACTGCAAATAGTGAAGAGATGATTTTCCCCAGACAAATCTTGCACCAATTTCACTACTCAGATAGGATCGCAGGTTTGGCAGGCTCGGAGTCGGATCATACTATCACCGTTCTCGCGATGATCCGCACTACTGCCATTGTGCTACCCCCCACCTACCATTTACTATTTGTAAATTGCACTTCATATGTAAAAATATGCTTTTAAACAGCAGGTTCCCACAAAACAAAACACCAATTCATTTGTTAAAAAAAACTATTTCCGTTTCTATACACTATAAATTTCCGCAGTTCTATGTCCATTAACATCACTGTACTCGTTGTAATATTGAAACGTTAAGATGTCATCTTACTAGAAAAAAAACGCGAAGTCCAAGTAATTGAAGAACCAGACCTCAGTTTTAGATCTAGTGATTTTCATAGCATCAAATTCTCCTAGAGAAATTGTCGTATTTAAGACACCTCTGAACAAACCTCAGTATCATCCTTAAGAAGCAGTCCTTTCGATAGCATTCCTACACGCATTACACCTTTCAGCAAACGATCCTTTTCTGGTGCTGCCGTTTCCTTGGTGCCCTCCCCACCTGTGTCAGTCGTGCTTGAGTTCGTTGCTACAGGCTTGGTGTCTGGTCGATCACTAGAAAAGAATTCGCTAAAAATGAAAGAAACAAATATACCAGTTTATCATTCTTTAACAATTCACATAGATTTAAAAAATAAACAAACCGCTCGTTGAAGTAATCAGAAACTTTCTTAAGAGCCTTCTCTGTTTCAGTAACAAGACTCTCAATAACAGTAAGTTGTTCGTCGTTGGGATAAATCGATGTATGCTTCGCCTAGAATAAAAACATCATTGGCAAACCGCTTTTAGCCACAAGTACTAACCATATCAACTCAGGAACTAAGATAATATCGCCTAACCTGGACATGGCGGTCATCCGTACTTTCGAATCTTCTACCATCAATAGGACCATTGCCAAACCATGGGCCACGTATGCCAGGAACTATAGGTCCAAAAAGACCAACGTTCCGTGGAACAGGTATTCTTTAACATCAGTTTTATGTTTTAGTAGACGTCAATAGTTTTATTAAAACAGTCCCAATGCAAATCTGACCAATTTTGACAGCCAAATTTTGGTAGGAAAAACCACACAAAATAAAAACAGCATCATAACAATGATAATAAAACAACTCCAAAAGTGAAAAAAAAATCATAAGCACAAAAATGCTTACCCGGATGGGGGAGGTGGCGGACCACCTCGAGCCATCATTCCACCCATAGAACCACGACCACGTTCGTACTTAGAACCACGTCGGCTCGTTGTTTGCTTAACCTCCACTTCCAAATTTGGGTCCACCTATGAAAAACGAAGAAATTCAAAAGATAACATAACCACATGAATCAGAAAAAAGAGGAAATTCGGAACAAGAACCACAACATCGCAAACCTTCATTTTATACTGTAGGCGATGTCTGCGTCCTTTTAAATGAATTTCCTTTGCGTTTGGATCGCTGAATTTACAGTCGCACAATTTGCACAGGTACTGAAGAAGTTTTCCGGTAGCATCTCGTTGTGCTTCTACAAATTCTTCACCAACTGGCTTCAAATTTTGCTCCGCAGCAATCAGTGCCTAAATGTTACCTACAGTGCAAACCTTTTAAATAAAACACAACAACAACAACCTGTAATTCTTCTGTCTGTCCCTTAACTGTCTGCACTGCAGACTCCTCAGTGGCCTTCGTTCCTGCAGTGCCAACTGGTTGTAAAACCTGTTGCTTTTTCGCTTCTAGTTGACCAGCTATTGTAGACAATTTTGCTCCTCCAACAAAATTTACAGTTGATATACCCACCACCTATAACAACTGTAGTAAATGATCTTCGCACCAAATTATATCCAGTCCACATCAAAACGTACCCTCTTTCCAGACACGTTTGTATTGGAGGATGATGTTGTATTAACAGCATTCGGTGGCGGTGGGATAACACCACCCATTTCTGATGGAGGAATAATAGTTGGCTCCGTAGATGGAATAGGTTTCCCTAATTTCTTGCACAAAGTCAGTGTTTTCTGATGTTTCGCACCACGAACATGGGCGTTATAAGTGTCTTGGCCGGTACAAGTGACATTGCAAAGGTCGCAGCGAAATGACACCTAAACAACGGTAACGCTCATTCGTGGCAAGTACAGTAGCCAAAGTGCCTACACTTTTTAAACAACAACCACTTGAAAATGAATGACACTTTGACGACTTTCTTTTGTTTTCCGGATCTGCAGAAAACAAAACAGTTACTTGCACTAGTTTTTGCTGCATTTAAGTAGAGAGTAATGTCAAACTTAATAAGTTGCATTCGATAACATGAAGAAACACATAGCATTATGAATGCATTCTGTGAAATAAAAGAGCCACTAGTCAGGATTCACATGGAATAGCAAATGCCTAACGGAGAACTACAATACTAATCTGAGGAGCTGAATAAAATCATGATTAATGACCATCAGAAATTCACCTAATCCATTCAGTTCGAAAAATTTACTTTGAAAACACGTGGAACGGATGTTACGAATTGGTTTTCCAGTTCATGAATTCATGTTTGCACTCTCTGTAGTGCAAACTTCACAATGGCGTTTTGGGTTCAGTGATTAAGAATGGCACTATTTCTTGCTCATAGTGCTGTTGCTTCCGGGCACTAAAGTAGTTTTACTACTCCACCTTTACGTCATAAATTTTGTACGTTTGCTGCTTACACGCATTTATAATTCTTCTAATATAATATTTATGGCAGAAAAAAGGGTAGGCTCAAAAAAGCTCTTTCTGCAACCATATCCTTCTGTACTCCCTCTCCATAATTTCTTACTTCACGACTTCACGCAGAATGGTCATCATGCATCGTGAAATATTTAAAAAATTACCATTCATTGCAGTTCCTACAAAACTCCTCAAAAGATGCTCCTTCCAATTTCCTCCGCTAAACGTGGATAGAAAGCTAAAACTTTATGACGGTTTCACAAAAAGGTCTGCGGCACCACATTTTTATGGAGTCGCTTCCAAAAGTAATCTTTCAGAAATAGAAGTCGATCTTCTTTTAAGCTCGAAACAGATCTCCACACATTGATTACGTAATTGATTTGTTCCTATTAACATCCAGATATTCTCCCAAAGGTTTACTGCCTCATGGCAGCTGGGAGGTGTTCCTGGGCGTCGGAATGCGATGTGCAGAGGGAGATTGATCCCAGAATGGTCTCTCGAGCCGACTGAGAAGTCCCACATTTCAATTCAGAAGCGCAGCAAAGACTAAAGCAGTACCAGGAATCACCACCGCTTTGGTACCAAATTAGTTGCAAGGTAGTAAATCTCCTTCTGATCCAAAACCGGCGCGTGCTTGCGATGATGAAGATTTTAGGAAAGTTTCAGCTAGAACAACCTATAGATTCCAGTGAACCACAATGGCTACACTAGCAAAGTTCCAGTCTCCGCACGTTGCACAGTGGATGCCCCATCAACGACGTCGTATACTGACACAACCGGTGAGAGGCGATCAGATCTCGGTTTGCACAGCATGAAAGTGATGATAGAGAACGATGAAAAAATATTCCAATGACAGAAACGGATAGAACGAGTATGCCCTCAATAAACCATGGAGAGTGCCTTTTATTTCATACCTATAACACACGAACAGTTTCTTCAGAAGCCAACTATTATTTTACGCTCTTCTTGAGGCCGCTGGTTTCATTAAATTCCATGTGTACGCCCCATAAGAGATGAAAACAAGGAAGACCGACATGCCAATTACCTTTGTCATTCCAGAAAGGAAATTTCCATTAGGAAATGTTGGAGGCGTTAGCTCTTTCGTATACAAATTTATTTCCCATACAGTCGCCTCGTACAAAATCCCTGCGTTTGCCCATTCTTTGTCTCAAACTTCTGCGTGATGAGAAAGTCAGTATGATCAACTGCTACTCACCAACTTGTGCTGCCGTTGAGAGTGAACTGGATGAGTTCTACAATCAGTTGGAACACCTAATCCGCTACAAGATGCCCTTCCATAAATTGTTGGAAACTCCAACGAGGGATTAGAAACGGCCAACGAAAATTAATGGGATAGGGAAAATCAGAATGGGAGAACGAAATCAGAGCGGAAATAGTGTTGTAGAACTGCTGTCCACAGCATGCCTCATCCATGAGGACTCATTTCTCAAGATGAGAGGAAATCGCTAATGGAAATAGGAGTCACCTGACGGCACGACTCATGCGGAGATCAATCATATTCTCACGAACGGAAAATGGTAGCATTTTGACACCTCAGTGTTACCTGGGCTTCGCAGTGCATTCAAGATTAAGTTTAGCCATAGGCTGGAAACGATCTCCTGTTATCGTCCAAGAAACACGAAACCAGTTGTGCAAGACGAGGACTTTCTCAAAAAAAGTCCTCTTCTCGTATGACTGCCAGATAAAAGAAAACCTCATCCAGAACTAGAAGCTCTTTTAAAAAGGACTGAGCTTGCAGCGAATTCACCTGTTCCTCAGACACTTCGTCACTTGGATACTTGGACTGCACGTCTTCACTAGTTGTTGCGCGGAAACCAGCATAATTTCCATTTTTTTTTGGACTTTTGTTGGTTTAGCTATTGTGGTTCCCTGCAGTCCCGAGGGCAGCCTTGCAAAGTCTACCCTAGGCAGTCACTATCACAAGGAGTCGTCGTCCTTGTGGATCAGAGGGAGATTTGCACCATGCGACTAGTATGTTACCAGGACGGTTGCGGATCCTGACATTGGTTTACTCTTAGCTGGCTTTCCTGATGGAAATGCCAGATTCCTTCTCCGCTTGGGAGGCTCTGCTGGGGGATGAATTTCCCCGTTGTACATCGCAGCCCGACATTGCGGTGGTAAACCGTTGGGACGGTTCTATGAAGTTTAAAGCGGATTTCCATTATCACTAAGTAGTTGTTCGAAAAAAGAAGGAAGCCGAAGCTTAACGACTGCAACACATCTAATATGGCTAATGTTAGTAGTAAAAGGTTTGTGTAGCATTTGCATCATTAGAGGCAAAAAAGTAACTGGAAGCAGCTGAAAAATGATGAAGTCTGAAGAAGTATCATCGGGATCTCTGCTACCATGTTCCGCTATCCTCTTGATCAATGATGATGGAAATATCACTACATCCGCTATGGTAAGAAATTGGTAATGGAAAAATCCTATAGCAGTCTTTTCCGAACCACAATCCTTATCTCGCACCCTGGAATCTCTACCCATGAAAAACTGCTCGGGAATTCCATACTCTAAGGTTAGAGTCGCGATAGGAAGCATGATAACAGGCATAGGTCCAGGACCCGATAATATCACCGTCGATTTCCATAGAACTGGAACCCACAAATTACTTGTACACTTCGTAACCCATATGACATATTAGCTTCAGGGAAATACACTAGACTACCGGAGGACGTCGCAAACGGTCATCCTACGCAAGACGAGTGACCAAAGAGATCCTCGTAAGTACCGTCACATGTGCCTGTTAAGTGCACTCTACAAGTTCGTCACGAAGATTATCCTTTTGCGCACATCGAAGACCTTGTATGAGGCACAATCAGTTGAGTAAGCGGAACTCCCACAGATTCTGCAGCAAAAAACACATCAATACCGAGTCGCGGCTCATAGAAGTATGTGTGTAGCACCATCTGCTCTTTTTCCAGTCTTTACCGATTGCAAAGACAAGTTTAACACTATCAAAACGAATGCAATCCTATTAGTGTTTGTCCACCAAGGAGTGGACCCGTTCTATAAACGAATAGTAGCAGACTGTTATTGGAACTGCAGGACGAATACGCACCTTTTCCATCGACCCTTTACCACACTGACAGGAAAAGGAGTTCGACAAGGCGGTACAATATCGCCAAAGCCTCCTACTGCTGCAATGCAGAGGATAATGAATTCACTCGATTAGTAAGAGAAGAGCATACGCATTGATAGACAACTATCAAATCCTCGTTTCGCAAATGACATTATCATCTTTGCTGGTACTAGTGAAGCAGGTACGAAGCTCAACGCTCAACAATGCGGGAAAAAAATTCGACAGCGCATAAATAGGACGAAAATCTTAAGGTCCAGTGGTGCGAAGATAAGGAACTCAAACTGGATGGGCCTCTGATTACTTCTGCCATCTCGTCGTAGAGTTTGGAGGTCCAGTGAATATGGAGAACATGGAAGACGAATAAGACGGAAGGAGGCAGTATGGGCCGCATTCGAGCACACAAAAAAGCTACTGACCAACAAACGCACCCAAAACTCTGCGTTCACCTTTTCGGTCCAACAGCCCACCCAGCGTTCTTTTATGGAGCAGAAACGTGGGCTGATACTTCAATCACGTCAAGAAATCTGCGCACCACTCACAGACTGCTTGAATGAAGTTCTCTGAAACTTAGACAGCACTCAAAACGTTCAGCCAAAATGCGCAAATCAGATTTTCGGAATCCCGAAGCACGTATGTACTCATCACATAACAACAAGAGATGATAGATGGACGAAAAGAACAGTGCAGTAGATTCCATGAGAATGCAAGCATTTTCTCGGAAGATCATAAAAAGGATGGGCGGACGTGTTCGTGGCCAAAATCAACCATCTGCGTTGGCAGATGAAAATCGATTTTAAGAATTCGGAATGGGCCTAGAGTACGTCACCTTGTTCGAAGCAGACCTCCACCATGAACGACTGCGCGAGAGAGAAACGTATGGGAACTATGCTGTAGTCCATATCACCAAGAAAGATGACGCATCCTTGTATTCAAGTAACATTCAGACATATCACATAAAATCAAAAACCACTTGTGTCCGAAGTATATACAAGTCATCACCAAGTGACTCAAGGATGCATCAGCGAATAAAAAACATTTCTTTCCGCCACATGCCAGTTGCACAATGTTTTGCTCATTCAAGACACAACACACGAAGAACATGACACTTTCCGTACGAGTGGCAACATAGATCTTGTTTCCGGCTAGGATGTGCAAGACTAGCACAGCGACTTTCGTACAAGGCTGAGTATACTTACAGGCACCTTATTAAGGAGCATAGACTTCAATTGTTAAAGTCAACATCGAATCAAAATTTACTAGCTTCTAGAATCTTGTTTCAATCCACTGGCAGCAGCCAAAGTACAAATAAAGCAAAGGATGGTGAAAAAATGGAAACTTTATAAGCACTGGCGCGGCGAATAGAAAGTCGACAATGTAAACAATGGCTCATGTAACAAACCAACCTTGCTTTTTGGTAAACTTGGGTTGTTCTCTCCTTTTGCCAAGGCTTCCTTCTTTTTATGACGTTGACCTTCCAGATGTTCTTTATATGTAAGTTGGCCGGCGCACGAAATTTTGCACACCTAGATTGCAGAAATAAGAATTTTTACAAATACAGTATATAAATTTATAAAAACGGAAAATTTGTATAACCACGAGAGACGGCATTGTTATTCCTTACCACCCCAAAACGTCAGCTAATTCGTAACCGCCTGTATGATCGTTTATGCACAGCGCCAAATTGAATAACTTGCCCTGATGGCAGACATGGTGACCGCAAGAGTCCACCAAGAGTTTACCCGCTCTCTTGTAAAGCGTGTGGGGACGAAAATATTGGCGAAACGAGAATAACACTACGTGCCCATATAAAAGACCACCTAGATGGGAAACATAAACTAAATAGCCTACTTGGCGCGCATAGGAAGCAGAGATAACGGGGAAGATACAAATATATAATAGAACTACCTTAAAACCTTTCAAGAAGTAGTGCTTATTAACGTTCTAAGAAACATATACTAGAAAGGGGAAAAATAAATTGATTTTAGAAAAGCTATATGGAAAAACATTACCTGTGTAGTTTTGACCTCTTGCTTTGTTATCTAGAGTGAGAAATGGAAATGAACACACTCAAGATAAGAAAAACAATTCCAAAATTACTCAGAACTTCTAATCCTTAATGGACATGATTTTTTGGATTCGTTTTTTCTTCTCATGATGAGTATCGCAATTTTTCAGTTGCATTCAAAAAACACAACCTTCTTATAGAAACGAAGAGATGGAGACTAAATACTATGCTAAGTGTATTACCTCACAGTAAAACTGTTGTGCCTCTCTCTGAACTCCAGTGCCACTACTGAATCGCTTGTTTGCAAAAGTTCCACCTCGTCCAACACCACCTACAACTTTTCTGGTGATATTCAGCACTTAAAGCTGATAAATTAGGTTATAAATACAGAAATAAAACATGAAGACAAACATATAAGTAAAATCCAGTAAGTAGGAGGCTTGAAAAAAAGGATATGTTTTTAAAATATTGACTACACTATAGCTCATAACGTAAAACGTTAATACTTTAACACATTTGTGAGAAATGTCGCCTTTCAATTCTAAACTAACAAATCTCCGCCCACAACAAACTTTATTAGTTGAGATGCAAACCATTAGAATCTATAGATCTCGATGAACAAAAATGCATAGCTGATGATGACAGTGACATCGCCTCTACATGGAAAACGGCTTGAAACTTAGGAAATAGAATGTGTCGTTTTCTTGTTAAGCAATCGCTAGGTTTTTAAACAGCATACATTTACTTCCATAGGTATTGCGTTTTTCTATGGAAGTAAATGTATGCTGTTTAAAAACCTCGTAATTGCTGAACGAGAAAACGACACATTCATGTTCCAATGGCGAGGTTAATAGAAAGTCGATCCTGGGAACTACTAGGAAATAGAGTTAAAACTCAAGTTTTTCGGAAGACTAATCTCAAACAAAATTGAGACAAATACGATGTTTTAAAAGAATTACAAACGTGCTTAAAGCAATAAAACGGAGCCTGTTCTGAAAATATGTCAAGATGTCTATTTTCAACTTGCTCCCAAAAATTTGCAATCGAAAACATCGGCATTTGTCCAAAAATCTGGTTATGTCGCAAATGCGTTAATAGTTTACAAGCTAATTATAGCGCAACCCTCTTCTCTTTCATACCGAGAGAAGGACATAAAAATACGCATAGTCCTTCATGTACCTTAATGAAATCCGAGAAACTAAAAGGGCGTCCGGTAAGCACTTAAAGCTTAGCACTTCGTTTAATGTTTATTTGCTGCCTACTTCAATTTTTCACGGCAGGATATTACGGAAATTATAGGCACAAAGGTGCTGGGACATTTCGAAAACTCTACACCGCAGGTGACTGTGACGGGGAACGAACGCGTTATTACCCTTTCCGCGGGCTAACGCGTTCACAACCACATGCGGGTCCTTCGTTTCGCCTGTTCCAGCTACTTTTTCTATCATTTGTATCACTAAACACTTCGTCATTTCTAGAACGCACTTTACGGCTGTATAATTAAAAATGATCACTTGTACTGACTTGGTTTCTTACTCATCCACATGTTTGAGGTTCCAGTTGCCTTCGAATGAAGATAAGAAGAGGCAGCTGCATAAACAGCAGCATCATAGTTCGAATATGAACTCGGAGAATCTAAAACATTTCATTGACAGGTAGGAACAGTCAAAAGGCAGTTTTCACAATAGTTTAGTTTTTAACCTTGAAGAAAAGGTCATCCTCAAAAAATTATCTAAGCTGTAGACTACTATAATGCTGAGATATTTGCAAAACTCCGGACTGCAGGTGTCTGCAGTGGGGAATGAACGCGCGATTGTCCTTTCCGGGAAGTAACACGTTCACCACCACACCATGCGGCTCCTTCGTTTCGCCTGTTTCTCAGCTAGTTCTGTCGATCTTTTGCCATCAAAATACCCTGCCGTTAAAAAGAATAAGAAGTAGATAAAAAGGTTAAGATTGTGATTATAACTACAGCATCAGCTTAACTGGATTCAATGCCGATTTGGGCTTCCCAGAACAATCCCGTTGACGGGTGATTGATGATTGCAAAAGATCGATAGAACTAGCTGAGAGACAGGCAAAACGAAGGACCCGAATGGTGTGGTGGTGAACGCGTTACTCCCCGGAAAGAACAATAGCGCGTTCGTTCCCCACCGCAGACACCTGCGGTCCGGAATTTTGCAAATATCTCAGCATTATAGTAGTTATATTTCGCAAAATACCCTTCTATGAAAACGAATAGGCAGTAAATAAAAAGGTTAAGACTAAGTTGTAGAGTTCACCGTTTTCGTTCAGAAACCCAACTAAGTGTATGACAAGAGGCCATAGAAAAATTCGCTCAATTGGTTTCGTAGTGGGGAGGGACTCGCAAAACTCGTAGAGAAGGACCACTGAAGTATCTGAGTAGGTAAAGGGTAGGGAAATACATGGAAATTTGCGGATTAAAATTTTAGTTGGTTGCATAAAAGAACGAGATTTCCCATTCAGTCATTATGCAGTCAGCTTATTAACCAGTCCAACTTACATGGAGTCCATTTCACTGACGCGAATAAAATCCCAGAAAAGAAAGTAAAGAGTAAAGAAACCACTTACTAATTGTAAGGGCGGACTTGTTAGCATTTGCAAGAGCTGCAAGTGATTTTGCAGCTTGACTCGTAGCTGACGCTGTCGGCCTGCCATATCCAACAGTGGTTCCAGCACTTGACTGAGAGCCAAACCCTTCAATAAATAAGCGAATACAAACAAATGACTAGTAATTGCGTCATCCAGACAAATATTATGTGGTACAATACCTGCCAGTTGTCCTACGCTAAATGCAGAGTACTGACTTTGCGCCACGCCAGCCGCTGCTGCATATGCAGCATCGGCGGATAGACGACTCACTTGCGAAGCCTGAACCTGCGCTTGTGCCTTAATATTAGATGATTCGGGATCACAACGTCTGAAGGAAAAAGCTTCCATATGGACCTGTGCAGCTTGGGCCGCGTACATAGAGGCAGCGCTTGTGGATTGATTCCCATAACCATAAGAAGCGGCCACAGAGTTGCTATACGTAGCGTAGGGATTTGTTGTTGAAGACCTGTAAACTCTCCATAACATGCTATAGGACCATTAGCATCCATCAGTAGTATAACTGGGAAAACCGACTTTCTATAAACCTCGGCCTAGATGGTTGATATATTTATTTATATGATCTTATAAACTGATCTTCTTAAACTGACGTGAGCTTGGTACAGGTCTTCGTTGTCGTTGTCCTTGTTTTTGATGTTACTGATCGATGGCTTACGTTTCGGCGACTTCGCCTTCCTCAGAGCTGCGATGTTACGTGTGGGACTTTTTTTTTTGTTAAGTCCCACACGTAACATCGCAGCTCTGAGGAAGGCGAAGTCGCCGAAACGTAAGCCATCGATCAGTAACATCAAAAACAAGGACAACGACAACGAAGACCTGTACCAAGCTCGCGTCAGTTTAAGGAGATCAGTTTATAAGATCATATAAATAAATACATCAGTAGTATAATTCGATGGACCTCATAAAAAGGAACTCAAATAAAACGGATTTTAAATGGACCTCACAATTAAGAAACTAAATAGGATCCGTTTAGACTGACCCGAAAACACTGCTCGATTGTTGTTGTGCTTGTGAAGCAGACTGTCCAACACCTAGATTTCCGTATACAGCTGCTGCTGCTGCTGCAGCGGTGTAGGCCGATCCGTAATTCCTGAAATTAAAGTTAGTTCCGGATTTCAGCCACCAACGAAATATGAACTATCCAACAGCACCCTGGAACTGTAGCGCGCCAACAAGTAGCATAACTTAGTTTTCAACTAGCTTAAATAGAATGCACAGTTATGATCGTAATTAAGGGACTCTTGACTTTCATGATACAAGAACGATAACTGTAACAACAAGGCTAATGGTAAGCAATAAAGATTCTAAATACTTTCAAAAAATCAATGGATCTTCAAGATAGTGAAAGGCAATCATAAAGCTCGGCAATCCCTATTCAGTACTTCTTCTTTCACCAGTTGCTTTCCGTACAAAGTAGCAGCGGAGTGTTGTTCCCAAAACACGATCAAATATCTAGTAGACCTCAGAAGATAATCAAAGACTCCGAAGTTTCTTCCTAATGAAGTCACGAAGGAGCTTACTCCAACCACGGGTTGAAAACAACAGAAACAAAATAAGAACAGAGAGGTCCACTAGCAAAAATACTGACTTAGAAAAGGGGAAGAGTTATACAGAGCAAAGCAGCAAAACAAGCAAAAATAATAACAAGCAATAAGCGATAAGTAAACGGAAAAACCTACCCATAACTTCCTTGATTGTATCCATACATATCAGAAAAACCCAGATGTGAAAGATGAACCCTAAGAAGTACTTCTTCAGTAACAGCACAAAACAGCACTGAGATGCTCTTCACGACCACTAAGATATTAACACATGACGAACGAGATTTGGCTACCAACATGACATAAGTGTTATCTACAACATATCTGTGCTGGTAGAAGACAAAACTGACGAAATGAAGCAACGTAAAAGGCCACCACCGAACAGTACCACCAAGGCCTCGGGACAATCGATAGGCCGGCAAGGGAAGCATGAGATCTCGTCCGAAAGCGGCGGCGCATCAGCATCGGTGTCATTCACTTGGATTCTTCGATTTCTCAGCGTTAGGTAAGTGACAAGAATTATCATAAGATGGCCAAGTTGTGTTCTTTATGATTTATAAGCTATAATGGTAGCACTTGGGCAGTATAAGTATAAGTATTGCGAGATGGAATTTCACCAGTCTTATTTGCTAATATACTTTGGGACCGAGAAGAATGAAGCAGTAGGTAAAAAGAAAACCATCTGAGAAATCCATAACGGTTTACAATATTTCTATGACTCAGCTGGCTTTAACGTCGGAGCTCCAGAAGGTTTCGCTCGACGTCATCACCAACAAGAATCACTAGCAGTACTCAACGGTTCTAATGAAGTAACAAAAGACTAACCAACTCATAGTTCTACGGTTTTTCCCGTTATACGTTGAAATGATTAAGTATTTAATTCAAAAATTCTGGACATAGACATAGGTTCCATCGTATGTATGTATCGTGCGATAATATGGGTAATGCCCAGGTGTCGCAACAGCTTACCGCCTCATCGTGGCTGGGAAGTGTTACTGGGTGGCGAGCTGCGGTCTACGGCGAGGAGATTCACTCCACTGGCAGGCCCTTCCAGGTCCAGAAGGAGTCCGGCGTTTCTATCAGGAAGCCCAGCTAAGAGTAAACCAACATCAAGATCCACCACCGTCGCGATACCAAACTAGTAGCATGGTGGCTAGTCTCCCTCTGATCCACAAGGGCGGCGAGTGCCTGTGATGGTGATGATCTGGAGCAGATTTTGCCCAGGCTGACCTTGGGGCTCCAGAGAACAACAATAGCTAAACCAGGAAAATTCCGAAAAAGTGGAGGCTATGCTGGGAGCCCCACAATCAGTGAGGACGGGCCATCCGAGTGCCCAGGTATCCGAGTAATACATGCCCAAGTGTTGGATGTATGGATTTCATGACCATTAGAACATTTGCCACATATATATAGATACCTGTACTTCCAGAATTTTTGCCACTGAGAGTTAAAGAGTAAACAAATGGACAGAGGGTAATAAATATCATAATTAATATACCTTCAATGATGTTGAGATATTTGCAAAACTCCGGACCGCAGGTGTATGTGGTGGGGAACGAACGCGCTGTTGTCCTTTCCGTGGAGTAGCGCGTCCACCACCACACCACGCGGGTCCTTCGTTTCGCCTGTCTTTCAGCTAGTTCTATCGATCTCTTGCCATCAGCAATCACCCGTCAGCGGGATTGAAGGACCCGCATGGTGTGGTGGTGGACTCGCTACTCCCCGGAAAGGAAAATAGCGCGTTCGTTCCCCACCGCATACACTTGTGGTCTGGAGTTTTGCAAATATCTCAGCATCATTGATGTTATATTTCACAATGTATACCCTGCCGTTAAAAAGAGTAGGCAGTAAATAATAAGTTAAAATCATGATTAATCTTTTAATGTTCCAGATTCATTGCCACACGACTATACATGTTTCAGAATTTTTATTACTGTTAAGAAAGCAGGACACTGACTCGCCTTCAAAAAGTATAAGACGTTTCGACACGCTGCTTATGAGAATCAGGCAATTGTGAAGTGAATTTAAGTGCATGAACTCACAGCCGACACACTTTCATCATTTCGAACCGATTCGAAGAGCGCACAAATTCCGTGGGGGGGACACCACTGGCTGAGTTCATCTCTTCATTTCTACTTCAAGTGTAAGGCACTTGCGACTTATAGGCTAAGATTGCTGGTGAGAAACATTAGTAGACCTATCGTCAACCGCCCACTTGAGAAGCAGGATATTTCACGCGTGGCATGGCGTAATAATTCGCGAATTGAAGGTCTTTTCTAGAATGCGTACCATAATCGTCAGCTGGTGTGGTGATATTTTACGCTGACCGTTAGTTCACCCTGTATTGACAAACTTTTTAAAAGGATAAAGGATGAAGCTCTCGGCGTTGATCAATCGCTGAGGGATGCGCCATGCATTAGACTTCATTAAGGGTCGTTTGGAGGTAATTGAATGCATATCTAGCCTTTACAATGACTCGCGGTGGCCTACCGAAGTATCGACCTACTGCTGCGATCCTCCTAGACAAGTCTGGTATCAATTTGTCGACCCCGGGGAGATGGAAGGCTTGGTGGGCCGTGTGCGCGAGGATCGATTCCACGTGTGTTGCTGGGCGTCTCCGACCACTACGCCACACCTGCCGCCGACGGAGTACTTGACGTTGCGACAAGATTTTGAACTTGAGCAATTGATTAATTTCATTGTACGGACATTGAGAAACACCTGGCCCACCAATCAACGAGTTGATGAGTCTTCAAACCATAAGTCAAAGGGATTTCATTGTGTAGAATGAGGGTGATGGTGGATGGGTACTATTAGGATAGTTCCTCCACAGAATGCGATTTGGTGATAAGTTCAGCTCCATACGATGATGTTGAGCAGCGACTGCATATCTAAATCTCCTTGATGGCTCGTTATTCATTCGTATGTCATGCGTGTCTACCACAGTAATCAAGCTCAATCAGTAAGTTGAAATTTGTGGAGAGGCGCAGTTAGAGACCACATGTGTTGTTCAGCTTGGTCGTTGAATGAATGTTCGTTCGCTACATGGTAAACAGTGTATTGCTGCTTGAAAATTTACGGCTTTCCGCAGATCCGATGTTTGCAGTGAATAGCATGCTGAATAGCGCTGTTTGTTGGGTAGCTTTGGAAAGCTTATGAAGTATGAGCACGCCTTGTTCTTCACCCTCCTCACACAACGATCTACTTCAATGCATGCAATTAGCACATGGTTGCTTGCCACTAAAGCATTCCACTTCATCCCTAATAGCCTTTCAATTATTGAATTGCCTTCGTCAGCGCGCAATTTGATTGAGCATCGAGGAAATACCACACAGGACTGCACTCTCTGTTATCACACTGTTAACAACTCGAACTGAAAACGTATTTACGATTACCATTGCTACGAAAGCTAAACTCCTCATCGACACTTGTGATGGTAGCGGTTGGGGTACGTTTCTACTGTTTGTCGACGAACTGTGAGTCCATGGTATGCTCAGCTACTTTCCTGCTGAACCGCAACTGAATTTCAAGTGTATTGGGCGTTCAATCCACTGTAGATCCCATTAGAGTCTTGCTATTAGCTAATGTAGACCATGTGCGAGTTAGATCAGTGCATCATTTTTGCCATTACCTCGATACAGAACCCTCTTCTTCATAAGATTTGCAACGTACGTCTTTTTACGGTAGAAGTGTAACTTGGGTATTTGAATCTTTATACAGCGATCCAACAGCTACAGCATAATGAAACTAACAAGCGTAGGTTTAAACTGGGATTGAAATAACCCTGATACATCAGTAACTATGTGCGTAACATACGACAGTGGCCAGTATTGCTAATGTGGATGGAGAGCTCAACAACTAAAATCTGTTATATGGAGAGAGGAAGCAAGAACCAGAATACTTTAGGATTACTACAGAAATGGGAAACTATTGCTTCTATTACTTCTAGAGTTGGCCGTACTAAAATGACAGAGCTGAATCATCGGACAATTCAATCGTACTTTGATATCCAAAAGAAAGTTATATCGGATAGTGACAGAAATCCTACTGAAGATAAGAACAACTATATGCGAGAACAGTACAAGTTCAAATGTTTGAATGGATAAGAGGTAGTAGCCAATTTTTGGAGAGTATTCGTTGTAACGTTTCACCCATCATTGATATCCACGGGCCTCTGTGTAAAACCACATGAAGCAAGCAAACTGTTTCAGTAAAAAATGTGACAATAATATCAATAATATCAATAATGACAATAATATGGCACAATGTACGAATAACATGTGGATCCTATGAAAATGTATAAAAAGAGTATTATTTGTGAGGTGGTCCCTATATGATGTGACCCAAAACATTGTTTTGATCCTTGGGATTGCGTTCTTGCCCAAGACGTAGCTAACAAACATAGTACGTCCAACATGGAGTACAGACGACGATCTGCCTTCGTGGACCGCAAAATTCTCTGGGTGGTGCAATAAGAAAGCTCATGTAAAGCGAAGAAGGCCCATCTACGCATGTTACTGGATTAGAAAGGCACGTGTAGCACAGTGGTCCAAGGCGCTCTGTAATACTATACATGGG